TCTTCAGCTCAAGGCTAGTGCTCTACCACTTGAGCCACAGAGTCACTTCTGGTTTTCTGAGTGGTTTATGGGAGATAAGAGTATTACAGACTTTTCCTATGCTGGCTGGCTTTGAACTGTGATCCCGGTATCTCAGCCTCCTCAGTAGCTAGGATTTCAGGTGTGAGCCACTTGCACCCGGCTCCCCCACTCATTTTGTTGAGATTGGGTCTTGATAACTTTCCTTGGCTGGCCTCAGACAGCAGTCCTTCCTGTCTATTTCCTGAGTATGTGGGATTACAATTATGAATCTTTTTTTTTTTTTAAGACAAAGTATTATTGGGTAGCCATTATTGCCTCAACCTCACATGTTACTGGGATTACAAGTATGTACCACCAACATGGATCCTTCTGAAATACTTTGAGTGTCCTGAAAATTTTTTTTATAGATCCTATGGCTATATTTTTCTCTTACTGGTTTATATTAGTTCTACATAGGAGATTTCATGGTTATGTATTCAATTCATTTAGCAAACATTTATTGAATTATTAATTATTATATGTCTACTAGTGATATTTCTTGTGTATACTAGGCCCCCCCTCATTTTACTAACTCCAGATATAATTGTTCCTTCTTTTCTTTCTTTCGTTCTTTCTCTTTTTTCTTTCTCTCTCTCTTACTCATCCTTTCTCTTATTCTCTCTCTCCTCTGTTCCTTTCTCTCTTTGGTTCTCTCTCTTTTTTTTTTTCTCTTTCTTTTTTATCTGTGCCCATCCTAGGGCTTGAACTCTGGGCCTGGGTGTTGTCCATTAGCTTTTTCACTTAAGGTTGATGTTCTATCATTTGAGCCACTCCTCTACTTCCAGCTTTTGCTGGAAAGTTTCATGGACTTTCCTGTCAGATATCAGCCTCCTGTATAGCTAGGATTATAGTTAAGAGTCACTTGTGCCAGGCTTCATAAATCTTTTTCTATTTGTTTTTAGTAAAAACTGGAAGATACGAGTTTGTTACTGCATGCTCAGATTTATGTATTTTTTCTTTTCAAGGTTTCCTTTAAAACAATAATAAAGTCAAATGCTTTGTCTTTTTCTCTGAAACATTTTTATGATATTCTTATTAGCTCAGGCCAATTTTTTTCTTTCTTTAAAAAAAATTTTTTTTTGAGGCTTGAACTTGGTCTGGGCACTTTTCCTGAGCCTCTTTGTGCTCAAGGCTAATGCTCCCACTTGAGCCACAGCACTACTTCCACCCTTTTCTTGGAGATGAGTCTCACAGACTTCCTTTCCTAGGCTGGCTTTGAACCATGATCCTCAGATCTCAGCCTTCTGAGTAGCTAGGATTACAGGTATGAGCCACTGGCACCAAGCTTATATATATATATATATATATATATATGAGTTGAGGACCAAACTCAGGGTCTTGCACTTGCCAGGCAAGTACTCTTCCACTGAGCTAAATCCCCCAGTCTCTCAAAAAACATTAAAAAAAAAAGTTCACAATACTGTTTGCCTGTGGCTGTGTGGTCTGGTATGTACCTGTCATTATATTCTATTTTATGATTTTTATTTTTGTTAATCTGTTATTCCCTCTTATATTATAAAATCTTTGTAGGTCCATTGACTTACTCATTCTAAATTCATAGTAGCGCTTTGTCCTTACCAACCCCTGTTGATTGAAACCTTTGATTGGTATAATCTCTCATTTCTTATATCTTCCCTCAGTCCTATGCTTTACATCTCTGTACTATAACAATCACCTCGATCATTCCCCATATTATTATTATTTCTTCTTCTTCTCCTCCTCCTTCTCTTCCTCCTTCTTTTTCCTCTTCTTCTTCCTCTTCCTGCTGCTGCTGCTGCTGCTGCTGCTGATATTGCTGCTGCTGCTGTTCCTCCTCCTCTTCTTCGTCTTTGTCTTTGTCTTCCTCTTCGTCTTTTTTGGGCCAGTCCTGGGTATTAAACTCAAGGCCTAGGCACTGTTCCTGAGCTTCTTTTGCTCAAGGCTAGCACTCTACCACTTGAGCCACAGCACTGCTTCTTGCTTTTTCTGTTTATGTGGTACTGAGGAATCAAACCCAGGGGTTCATGCATGCTAGGCAAGCACTCAGCCCCAATTCCAGGCTCCTTCCCCATAATTACTTTTTTTTAAGGACTACCAAATTTAGTAACTATTTGCTTACTAAATTTTCCATTGACCATTTAATTAGCATACTTAAATATTTTAAATGTGTATAACATTACAAATACACATTAGGTATCATGTAATATTTTCACACATATATACTGGAGGTTTCATGTGACTGTCTGTTCATTCCTGCTTTCATTGTGGTGAAAATATTGAAATGAACTCTTCTAGATTTATGAAATATACAGTATATCGTGAGATTCTTATCCTTTTTTGTTTTTTTAAAATAGTTTTATTATCATGGGTTTTTATATTTTTTTTAAATTTTATTTATTTATTTATTGTCGGTCGTGGGGCTTGAACTCTGGGCTTGGGCGCTGTCCCTCAGCTCTTCAGCTCAAGGCTAGCACTCTACCACTTGATCTACAGGGCCACTTCCGGTTTTCTGGTGGTTTTTATTGGAGATAGGAGTCTCACGGTCTCTCCTGCCTGGGCTGGCTTTGAACTGCGATCCTCAGATCTCAGACTCCTGAGTAGCTAGGATTACAGGCGTGAGCCACCAGCGCCTGGCTATCATGGGTTTTTATAAAGGAGTTATAAAGAAGCAGTTTATGAGTATAATATATCTTGTTCAGTGTCACTCATTTCAATATTCTCATTCATCCTTCCCAATCCACTTCCATTATTTAAAAAAAAATTGTTCTTATTCTTTTAAAGAGAACTTAGTTCCTTGCTGAGTAAATTTCCCCCATCTCTCTCAGCCTCATATGGTCAACTATGACAGCAACATTTATCGAGTAAGATCATGTACTACTTGTTTGTCTTTGTCTTATTTAAGTTAACGTAATCATCTGTTTTCATTCATGTTAGACCAAATGACAGGATTTCATTATTTTATATGTCTGAATAGTATTTCATAAACTGTCACATTCGTCAGTTGATAGACATTCTAGATTATTTTTATTTCTGGCCATTGCAAAAACAGCTGTAGTAAACATGGGAGTGCAAATGTCTCTTTCACATTATTTCCTTTAATATCTATAACTACAAATGAGATTTCTGGACCAATTAAAAGTTCTGTTTGTTGTTGTTATAAAGTTATGTGACTGAACCTTGCTATTTAGTACAGGCTGGCCTCAAACTAACCGCCTCAGTAATGTCAGCATTCAGATTACAGGTGTACACCAACATTTTTATAGCTCAGTTTTGATTTTTTCCTATGCCATTTTCTATAATGACTGTAGTAATTTCTGACTCCACAAACAGATCAAGGATTTCTCTTCTTTACATCCTTGCCAGAGATGGTTCATTGGTGGGTTTTGTCTGTGTGTGTGTGTCCATCCATCCATAAAACATTTGTAGTATTCTATTTTCATAATAATAGCATTGGTATTTTAATAGGGTAAAATATTTTAATAATATTGAATCTTCCAATCTATGAGCATATAATGTCTTTCCATTTTTCTGTGTTTTGATTTTTCTATCATTCTTCTGTTGTGTTCGCCCTTCCTTTCTTCTTTTCAGTGGTACTGAGTTTTGAACTCAAGGCTTCTCATAGATTTTTTTCACTTCTTCGGTTATATTTATTCCTTAGTATTATTATAGGCATTTTTTTGCTCTCTGTTAGACAATTTTCTATGAATGAATAAAAATGATAGTGATTTTTTAGATCACATTTATACTTTTTTCATTGAGGTTATGGTTAGGCTTGGCTATATAACTCACTGGTAGAGTGCTTATATATAAGCATGTTTAGTTTCCTAGGTTGATCCATAATGCTGAATTTTTTGAAGTGATGTTTATAAACTGCTTGCCAAAATTATAATATATGTCAGATAATGCCCCTGTAAATATAACCATGAGCATAAAATCTGCACAAACATACTTTACTCTCTCTGATGTGTACTGGGTTCTAGACAGAAACTAACACAAACACAGACTATAAGAGTATAGAGGACAAACTCTCAAGTATTGCTTGAGAATATACTATCTGGCTAGAATGAACAGTCTCAACTACTGTGTATGCTACCCCATATCCTATTTTGAGATTAGAGTGAGGAGTGATTATTGTAAACCACCGTATTTAGAATTTCTCAACAGATAACTTTATTTTTATATGCCACTCTGTGTGTGTGTGTGTGTGTGTGTGTGTGTGTTTCTATATCCCAGAACCACTGGGGTTGTTGCTTTTGCTAGGAAGATAGTATACCACTTAAGCTAAACACCCCAGACCTTTTTTTTTTAGTTTATTTTTTGGAGAAAGTCTTTTATTTTTTGCCTAGCCTAACTGTAATCCTATGTATACTTCCTTCATAGCTTCAATGACACATCTACATCTCCACACATAGCTCTCTATTAGTTGACATAGAGTCTCACTAATATTTTACCTGGTTTAGCCTTGAACTGCCATCTTTGGAATCTCTACCTCCTGAGTAGCTAAGTTCACAGACGTGAGCCACTGTGTACCCACTTGCCCTTCTTTATTTCTCAGTTCATAGTCCTGGGTAAGGATGGTTGCCTGTACTTCCCTAAATTTATTTATAGATGCAACAAAATACCCATCAAAAGGCCAATTAGGTTCTTTTTTAGAAATTGACAGAGTGTAGATGAAAGCAGTCAGTTTTGTTGATGTGGTGATCCATCTGAGATGAAGACTAACCATGACTGGTTTTAGAAACATAAGGAATTCATCCTCTGCTTGCTGAGACTGAAATCTGTAAGCAAGTCACATTTGTTACCAGAATACTTTGTTTCTTCCAATCCATGTAACTTTCTCTTGGCATCAATGCTGTGTTTGCTACCTTTAACTGATGACCTTTAACTAATGGAGTTAGTGAAATCCTGACCAGAGGTAGGGAAGTTTCTATTCATGATACTTGTCTTTGTCTTTCTCTTGGTAGGGAAATTGAACAGCCAAGACTCTTACAATAATTTTACCAACAACAATCCCGGCAATCCTCGGCTTTCTCCTCTTCCCAGCTTGATGGTAGTGATGCCTCTTGCACAAATCAAGCAGCCAATGACATTGGGGACCATCACCAAGCGAACAGGGTAAGGTCTCTTGGTGCTTTTTTTTCACAGCTGTTTTGGAGGGTTGAATAAAAATGAGACCTACTTTTTCTTTGTATGGTTTTGATTATGTTTTTCGTTTCTAGCCCATATGAGCCTTAATGGCAGCAGATTAAGTACAAAGTATAGAACGAGCACAAACATACTCAAACACAGCCATGTACACCCACCCACAGAAAAAAAACAAAGCAGTGACAAGTTGTGAAAACTAGTATTGCTAATAAAAACCAGATCCATTCACTCAGTCTTTTGCTTGCTCATTCTATGCCTGATAGTAGTTTGATTTTCTTGGCTCTTACCAACATGATTGGGATTTAATATGACTTCCAAATTTTGACAGACACAAGTAATAGGAGAGAACTCTAAATGACAACCATGTTTCAAGTACTTTATAAAACTCATGTTGAAATTCAATGTGTATATTTACCTCTACATACTTATATTACTCTTATCTTTTGTCAGTGTGAAGACAATGATATTCAAAACTTGGTTTCTAAGATTTGGGCTTTTTTCATGATGGCTCCTTAAGATCCTTAAAGACTTAATAACTCACTTGATTTTTTTGTGCTTATTTTAGCTATTTAAAAAATTTTCTCGGCCAGGCATGTTGGCTCATGCCTATAAACCCAACTACCTTGAGGCGGAGATCAGGAGGATCACAGTTCGAGGCCAGCCCAGGCAAAAAGTTAGTGTGACCCCATCTCAACTCATAAGCCAGGCATGGTAATTTATGTCTGTAATCCCAGCTATTTGGAGGCCATAGGTAGGAGAATCAAGGTCCAGCTCTGCCTAGGCCACAAATATACACAAACAAGTATAAATTTAAAAAATTGTGAAAGTCTATGTGGAAATTAACTAAAGCAATATATATATATATATATATATGTGTGTGTGTGTATGTATATGTATGTGTGGTGTATACACTTATATATATGTCATAGCTTACGAGCAGTGCCTGTCTTGCCAGGTGTGAGGTCCTGAATTCAAACCCCAGGACCATCAAAAGGAAAATTTCTACCTGTTAAGATTATAAAGTTATTATTTTCTGATATAATTATAAGTCACTGGGGAGCTGTTTATGAATAACTCTGAAAATCAGCATTTTAGTATGTTATACCTATATGTCAATAGCTAGATTACTTGTTTTCCTCAGTAAACAATTCTGATATTTAATGAGATTTGAAATTTAACAAATTGAACATTAAAATCCTTTATTAAAATAGTCAGGCGAAAGCCCTGTTTGGGCTTCATATAACCTGTGAGGTCTTCCCAATGATATAAATAGTTTCAACTATTTGTTGATACTTTTTAAATCTAGTGCTAAGTGTTCATAGAAGTCTCTTGTATGAAAAAAATGCTCAGCCTTCTCAACAAGTGTTTTGAAATCCAGGTATAATAGAAATTGAGCCTAAGCCTAGGAATTTGTATATAATATAGTCCCATGGCTATATGCAAAATGAGTTTGCATATACTGACATGGTATATCCCAAATCATATTGTATACCAGTCTAGTTGTTTGTACATCTTTTATGTCATTGGGTTTATTAGAAATTTAATTTTAAATAGAATGTTTACCTTCTTTTCTTCTGGTATATTTTAAATTGTGTTGATTATGATAGTTATGGATTAGGAAAGGATTAGCTTTCATTGTGATTATTATAAGCTTATCTTTTCATTTTGTAATGATGTATTCCCTAGTTGTAGAATGAGAGGTTCTAAATCCCCATACTGAACTGTCAAGTTCTGTTACTTGCTGTAGTTAGTAAGTTGTATTCTTTTATTCATCCCAGGATTGTACAGTTCTACCAGTTTTTTGTCATTCCTGAATCTAAGTTTAAGCATCTTCAAAGTGGTTGTAATTTAATTGTCTATAACTTAATTTTACATTGAGATCAAGGGTAATATACGAATTTTGTTTCTGAAGTTTCTTGGAGATGAGCATTTTCTTGTGTTGTGTTTCTGATATATGTTTCTTTTTGTTGTTTTCAGCATAAGCTTTATAAGCCCTATGTCTTATAATACACAGAATTAGCACTCTGTAGTTGTTTTCCACAATGATTCTGAGATTATTACTGAAGTTATACATAAAATGATGTCATGTTAGAATTTAATTAAAATATGTATGTTCAGGTCTGGACTGTAATTGCTTTTGTTTATTTTGGAGCTTTTATACTCTGCTTCTTTCTTATTATATACACTTTTATATATATTAATGATAAAAGTGGATTTTAGTTTTACTATCTCTTTTGAAATGCATAATGTATGATACTTGTTGAGCGGATTTTTTTCCTCATCAGTTTTCAAGTTATTTTATTTCTGCTAAGTTTAAAAATTTGTTTTCAAGGTCCTCTGTTCAAGTGTTTGGAGAGAATAATTCATACAGTCTTAAAAGTAGTATTTGGGTTTAGATTTTTGAGAAAATTTCAGATTGACAAAGCATTGTAAGACTAGAAATAAGAATTCCTGTATGTCTACATTTCCACTATGTTGCGCTTGAGCTATTTGCTCAGTCAATATTTGCCTTGTCTTACTCTTCCTGTAAGCACACCAGTAAACCATTGTTTGCCCCTTTGTTGCAGAGTAACTTGCAGACTTAATATCCTTGTATTACTTAATCTTCTTAGCACAGATCTAAAGAGAGTGATTTTTGCACACTATAATTATCCAAAGCCAGAATTTAAAACAAGTTTTTTTCATTCAGTTTTCCTTTTTGTTTTGTATAGTTATTGTCTGTAATGAATATTTGTGATGGAGCATGAGTTCAACAAAAAATTATCCTAACTGCTTGTCTGTCCTTCCCAACCACTGTTCTTCTTACCCCTTCCACTTAACACATTTTAAAGTGACTGATAAACCTGATTCTAACTCAAATTTGATCACGATACTACTGGATTACAAGATTTAATGTACTTAAGCACTTAAGGAACCTTCCTGCCCTCCTTGACTTCCCTCCCTTCCTTTCCTCCCTCCCTTTCTCTCTTCCCTCCCCTCCCTTCCTTCCTCAGCTGTCCTCCCTCCCTCCTTCTTTCCTTCCTTCTTTCCTGTGCCAGTATGGCATTTGAACTCAGGGCCTGGGTGCTATTCCTGAGCTTTTTTGCTCAATGTTAGTGCTCTACTACTTGAGTCACAGCTCCACTTCAGCTTTTTGGTATGTAATTGGAGATAAGAATTTCATGTACTTTCCTGCCTGGACTGGCTTTGAACTTCCAATCCTCATATCTTCGTTGGCTGAGTATCTGGGATTTCAAGGATGATCAGGGCCAGCTTTTTCTTTTCTTATTTGGAGACTGTGTTTCCCAGTCCATCTTGGATTGAACTTGCTAATAACCCAGACTGGCCTCAATGTTGTAGTCCTCCTGCTTCAGTCTCCTGAGTGCTGGCCATACGGTTTTATACCACCAAACCTGGCTTAAAAGCTATTTTCTGAAGTTTTTGTTGATTATACTCAGAAATTCCTATTGTTATTATTCTTTCTCATACAGTGGCTCCAAATTTTGTAATCTTAATGAACAGTTTTCATTAAACTTCATGTTTTTCTTTGTCAAGTCTTATATTTGACTTGTAAGAAGAAAATGTTTTCTGAGTTTCCAATTTTGCTATATGCTAAGTTACAAAAGCAAGTTCCAATATTTCATTGCTTTAGATCTCATCTTGTTAGAATTTAAGGACTATGTATATTTTACTGAAACATTTAAAAACTATGACCAATTCTCAACACTGTAGCTAATTGCTTCTCAGTACTGAGAAACTTGATATTCTTCTTTAGATACCAATGCGAAAAGGAAATGGAGTTCTTTTTTTTGTGTTTTTTTTTTTTTTTTTTTTTTTGGTCGGCCGTGGGGCTTGAACTCTGGGCCTGGGTGCTGTCCCACAGCTCTTCAGCTCAAGGCTAGCGCTCTGCCACTTGAGCCACAGCGCCACTTCCGGCTTTTTTCTTTTTGCTTATGTGGTGCTGAGGAATCGAACCCAGGGCCTCAGGCATGCAAGGCAAGCGCTCTACCACTGAGCCACTTTCCCTGTCTCGGAAATGGAGTTTTTATTTCCCAGGTCTCTTCATTTTGGAAATTTGTTTACTTGTATTCTAATTTTGTGAAACTCTGTCCCAGTGCTTTTAATTTTATTTTATTATTATTTTTTTTGGGTCCAGTTGTGGGGCCTGAACTCTGGCCCTGGTTGCTGTCCCTCAGCTCTTCAGCTCAAGGCTAGCGCTCTACCACTTGAGCCACAGCGCCACTTTCGGCTTTTTTCTTTTTGTTAATGTGGTGCTGAGGAATCGAACCCAGGGCCTCAGGCATGCAAGGCAAGCGCTCTACCACTGAGCCACCTTCCCAGCCCCTGTCCCAGTGCTTTTAAAATATAATTAACTGAGTATTTCACAAGCGATATGTAGAAAGAAGACATAGAGCTCACCCATTTCAAACATTCAAATTTTATTACTATCTTTAAGATACTCAATAATAATTTACTTAATTTACTTCTATTCATGTCCTAGTTATTTTGCGTACATACATAAAAGAACCACAAAATTTTACATTTGTATAAGAGAGATTTCTAAAAATTGCCTATGGTCTAATATTTAAACATCCAAATTGAAATGGAAGCCTCAGCTTAACCCTTCAGGGGACAAAATGTGTGCTTACCATATTTAACATCTGTCCTCTAATTTTTACCAATGTATGTCTTTGCAACCTTGGGCAGTGTCAGAGACCATCTGTTTCCCTCCCAGATAAATGAATCCAGTAAAACTACAAATGGCAGAAGACAGATGTTTTTGCACCTTCTTATTCTGTACCTTGAAGCATCTCTTGAAGGAGAGAAGGCCTCTGTTGACAACAGCTGCTGATTTCTCAGATGGCATACACAAAGGAAAGCACTAGGAATTACTTGACTTCAGCAGTCCCCCATTCAAATAGAATCCATTTTCTGATCATCTAAGGCTACAGGAGTGGAAAGCCAAGCTTATCACCTCACTGTGTTCTTAT